CCACGAATTGGATACCACATTGTGTCCGACTAACAAAGATCAGTTTGTCTCTGAACTATGGCGATTGATCATTGCATTTGTCATCAAAATATTCCTTACATTTATTACTTTTGGCTTGAAGGTTCCATGTGGTATCTACGTCCCATCCATGGTGGTGGGAGCCTTATTTGGCCGTATATTTGGCATGTCTATTCAACTTGCAAACAAGAGGTTCTCAATTGACGAGGAGCTCAACATTGAGGTAATGAACTATGTTTGTGCAGAGAACTCAGGTGAATGCGTGGATTTGGGCATTTATTCCATGATCAGCGCAGGCGCTTTCATGGCAGGTGTAACCAGGATGAACATCACCTTGGTGACGATTCTTTTCGAACTCACTAGTTCATACACTTATGTTTTGCCTATTGCCATTGCTATTGCCGTTGCCAACTGGGTAGGCGGTCTCATCGAGGAGAACTCGTTGTACGAAGCGCTTCTTATTGCAAATGACTATCCATTCTTGTCTCCAGAGTCCGAAGCCATCGATCCATTTGCATCTGCGGGTGAATTGTTGCCAGATGGTGATTTCTGCAAGAAGGAAGAAATATCGGAAGTGGACGATGAAGAAGGCGGGTCTAAAAATCAAAGTGCCTCAGGTTCTTCAGATGAGCCATCCGATATTTCCCAATTGAGCTCATTCGGTCTAGACGAAAAGCTTCACATTGACGTTTCAGAAACACCCTATGTATCGACTAGGGTTCTTTGGTCTAAGCTCACGTTGTTGACGAAAAAGTGTCTTCTTGACGGCTGTATTCCACTTATCAGGGATGGAAATTGTGTTGGTACTGTCTTCTTCTCGGAGCTCGAGTTCTGTCTTGATAGGGTCAGCGAGTTCTCACACGAGTTTGATATCACCGAGGAAGTGTACTGCAAAGTTTTCAGAACTAGCGACTACAAAGATTCAGCCTGGAAGCCGTACCAGTACCACAATGAGAAGGTATTGGTTGCAGCTTTGGACAACAAGAGAAGCAATTCGTACAGGGACGTGCCAACAGAGGACTACTTCAACTACCGCAGCAACGAGGAATATGTGAACTTCGAGAATGAAAGAAGGATGTATGAGGCGCACCTCACATCTCTTACAAACTTCATCCGATACGTCAACACAGACCCTATTTTCATCAACTACAATGCGAGCTTGACATTGGCGCACCTTATATTTGACCGAATCGGAACACGCATTGTGGTGTTACAGAAGGACGGAAAATATTATGGAGTGCTTCACAAAAAAGCCTTGGTGGATTTCTGCCGCAGACCGCACAAGCACTAAATATAGCCCTAGGAGCCGTATATATGTTTCCAGATTGTCAGAGATGCTGTGTCTCGGATGCTCGCTTACGTGCATGATGTTTCAATTTGGCTGCAAAAAAGTCCGTGCGCGACTCCTGAAACAGACCCTCTCGGGCAAATACTATAAAATCCAGGGATTTGCCCTCAATTTTTGGTTCCGATTATTCTCAAAATGTATACCTATTCCAAGTACGGTAGCCGTTTGCCTACCTCAAAAGTTTATGCTCCGCCTTCACTGATTAACAAGCCTCCTAAAGAAAAGAAGAAGGAGAAACCCAGACTGGAGCCTAAAAGGGTCAATGCCCCCTTGCCTGAAGGAGCGTGTCCGAAGAAAAAGCCGTTTGTCAATGATTATCAAAATGATTACGTTCATTCCAGACAACCCTCTACTCAGTACGTGAGAAATGTCGACTGTCCTACGGAAGGGTATCCCAAGTTGAAGAAGTTGAAGGAATTGAAACAGCAGCAGGTTGACAAGCATGCCATCAAACCCTATGGCGTACGTATTGACTCGAGACAAATCGTGCCAATGTTGAACAGCTGGGTCCGCGACCATGCGTTTCAATTCGACGTTATCATGATCGGGGCTTTGGTTGAGAATCAGTTCTTGTTGCCGCTTTTAGAACTGTTGCCATTGTACAAGCTCTGTGCCAAACCGGGCTTTCTTTTCATTTGGACCAACACTGCCAACATCAAGCAGTTGTCGTTCCTTCTCAACAGCGAGAAATGGAACAAAAAGTTCAGAAGGTCCGAGGAGCTTGTGTTTGTGCCTGTTGACGAAGACAGCCCATACTTCCCGGGACGCGTCAACGATGGCTTCTACCACGGAGAATTTCTCGGCAAGAAACCCAATGGGAACGGAGAGTCGTTGTTCAAGAGAACTCAATGGCATTGCTGGATGTGTATCACAGGCACCGTGCGGAGATCCACCGACGCCGAGTTGATCCACTGCAATATCGACACGGACTTGCAAATGTCGCCCAAGGGCAGTCCCGGCATCGCGTACAATAATGCTGTCCCGGAGGCTATCTACAAAGTGGCGGAGAACTTCTCCAATTCAAATAGGCGGTTGCACATTGTGCCATGTCGCACGGGCTACAAGGTTCCGGTGAGGATGAGAAGAGGATGGGTGGTTGTGCTGCCGGACGTGCTTGTCGACAATTTTAACCCAGAGGAGTATGAGCAACAGATCAAGGCCAAGCTGACGGTCAAGCAAAAAACCATCAATACGGGAGGCGTACGCCAAGTACAACAATACTTGGTGCCGCAGACCCGGGAGATTGAGGGTTTGAGGCCCAAAAGTCCTTCGTGAGGTGCAGACTGCTGGAGAGTTAGTTATATGTTCGGAATCGATGGGTCAGATATAAAGTTGGATTAGGAAAAGTTATCAGCATAGATGCACTCTGAGTGAGCTGAGTTAGGTTATCATCACAACATCGAGGATCGACATACCGTTCATTTTGAAGAAAAATGTGACATCACTAAAGACTAGTATGTATCTGGCACCTCTAGCTTTTTTTTCACTCAGTCTCACTCATCGCAGGCCAAAATCGGGTAACGGCGCGGGTCTGGCCTCGGAAAAAATAGGACAAACTCGGAAGCCCCGCGCCCTTGGCTTCGGAACGTTACGGTGGCAGTCAAAGTCTGACTCCGAACCGGTGTGCCGGTTAATTACCCACTGCAAATGACTTCTCCAGCAATTGACCAATCAAACGGTGCCGGAGCGTGCTTAGATACAGGAAAGTTTCAGCCCACGCTGTCAGCGATGACGCTTCCCCGTTCCAGGTAAATCGGCCCCTCCGCTCGGTCCCAGTGATGCACCGACAATAAGGGCCAAGGTGAAGCGCGGGACTTTTGCGCTGTGTGCAGGACGAGGTGGGGAAGTGCACCACCCTAGGGAGAGCCACCCCTCATGGACCGAAGGTGGCGTGGAGCAGCAGGAGAGTCAAAAAATGCTATCTGTCAAAGCCCGGAGTCAGACGTCACCGGCTCGGACTATCAAAAGTAACCAGTAAAGCCTTTTTGATAAGGTGGGGCGTGGATGTTCCGCGTCAGGTCCTGCCAAATCGGGGCACAATTCCTTCTGCGTCTGTGGCTCTCCCAGCTCGCATTCGCCGAGGCTACTATTGGATGTGCATCACTTTTCCCCAGACAAAGAATTTGTATCCCGGAGATAGTAGTATATAACCACGCGGATTCCCCACCAGAATTTGTGCCTTTTCCCACAAACCCACAGCATTTACCTTAGCAACATGGCGAAGATCGAAGTGAAGAACCCCATCGTTGAGATGGATGGAGACGAGATGACCAGAATCATCTGGCAATTCATCAAGGACAAGCTTATTCATCCTTACTTGGACGTGGACTTGAAGTACTACGACTTGGGCATTTTGTACAGAGACGAGACCGAAGACAAGGTCACCACGGACGCTGCCGAGGCCATCTTGAAGTACGGCGTGGGTGTCAAGTGTGCCACCATCACCCCAGACGAGGCCAGAGTGAAGGAGTTCAACTTAAAGAAGATGTGGTTGTCCCCCAACGGTACCTTGAGAAACATTTTGGGCGGTACCGTCTTCAGAGAGCCCATTGTCATTGACAACATCCCCCGTGTGGTGCCTACTTGGGAGAAGCCCATCATCATTGGCAGACACGCGTTTGGCGACCAGTACAAGGCCACCGACCTTGTTTTCTCCAAGCCCGGTACGTTCTCCGTTGTTTTCAAGCCAGACGACGGCTCCGCTGAGGAAGTGAAGCAGGTCTTCCACTACGATGCTCCAGGTGTCGGCATGGCCATGTACAACACCGACAAGTCCATCACGGACTTTGCCGAGCTGAGCTTCAAGCTTGCCTTGGACAGAAAGTTGAACTTGTTCTCGTCCACCAAGAACACCATCTTGAAGAAGTACGACGGCCGTTTCAAGGACATCTTTGAGGGCTTGTACGAGTCCAAGTACAAGAAGGACTTTGACGCTGCCGGCATCTGGTACGAGCACCGTTTGATCGACGACATGGTGGCCCAGATGTTGAAGTCCAAGGGTGGCTACATCATTGCCATGAAGAACTACGATGGTGACGTCCAGTCCGACATTGTCGCCCAGGGCTTTGGCTCCTTGGGTCTCATGTCCTCTGTTCTCATGACCCCAGACGGAAAGGCCTTCGAGTCCGAGGCCGCCCACGGCACTGTCACCAGACACTTTAGACAGCATCAGCAGGGTAAGGAGACCTCCACCAACTCCATTGCCTCCATCTACGCATGGACCAGAGGTATCATCCAGAGAGGTAAGTTGGACAACACCCCAGATGTGGTGACTTTTGGCGAGAACCTTGAAAAGGCCGTCATTGACACTGTCGCCATTGACAACATCATGACCAAGGACTTGGCCTTGACCCAGGGCAAGACCGACCGTCTGTCTTACGTGACCACCGAGGAGTTCATTGACGCCGTCAAGGTGCGTTTGGACGAGAACTTGGCCCAGGCCTTGGCTAAGTAAGCGGGATTTAATTATTTTATATAGTAAGGAATTGCACGATAAAGCGTTGTAGGAAATGGCTGCAAAAAAATATGCGGCGTGCTTATCGCACGGTGTGCAGTGTAGATATGCAGCGCATGGGGTAATAAGTACTTCATAGACATCCTTACTACAACTTCTTCTTTACATGTACTAAAGCAAATGTATTTCAATTACTTTGATGGTGAGGACGCCGCCCTAGAGTTGTCAGGTGTTTGTGAATTATGGTATCCGAGTGACCCCTCCACAAAGGAGTATGAGAAATATAGGGTTTTACCCCCATTTCAGTTGGAACTCAAAGCGGACATAATATGGTGGTCAGTCAAGCTCAAGACCAGCGTTTTGCCTGAACTCGGTCAAACAAAAGCCCGGTATATTTGGGAATACTTAAAGGATCCCGAATCTGGTGAAAAGACACTTGAAGGTATTCCCGTCGAGAGAGCTAACATAATCAAAAGGCACGCAGACAAGTTCATTGCCTTGGTTTGCAACCCCAGATTTGTCTCTCCTTCTCTTCACTTAGGGAAATCAATTGATGACTTGAAATCATTCAGAGAGTGGTTTGTCAATTCAGCGACGAAACTCGATGCAATTGATTTGCTTACAGCGATACAAAGGTGGAAAACACAGTATGAATACTGTAGAGATCTGGAGGGGTTTATCAATTCAGATCTTTTTACACAGTTCTACACCTCCCATCGTTTCGACCATAATATCCATATGCTTATCGATAGACTCGACCTTTTGAGCGACTCTTATCAAAGGTATGCGGTAGATTGCCTACTCCAATGGCTTGATGTGTCCGTCTACGATGTTTTGGACAATTGTCTTAATTGGGAGAATGTAGAAGGAAATGTGGGTGACTACATGGTTGGCGGTCCTTTGCTGCTGGTGGACCCCACCATCGGGTATGAACCTGGCATCTTCTATTATTATGAAGGGTTAATGAAAGGTCGGAACAATTCAAGAAAACTGAGTTACTTTGACGAGAAACAAGATCTAACCATGAAGGTTCTGGTGGTCTCTCGAGAGTTGTTTTTAAAAAACCCATACACATACGAGTTGGAAAAACAAGTCCTTACATTTCCATTTCGGTTGTTTTTAAAAGCTGATATCATCTGGTGGACACTCCAGCTCAAGTCAATTGTATGGTCATTGTTCGATGGCTACACTGCGGACTATATCTGGGAATACTTGAAGGATCCCGATTTTGGTGAAAAGAAACTTGAAGATCTACCTGGTAAAGACGTCGAGATGATGAAGTATAATGCAGATAGATTTTTCTGTACACTTTGTTGTCAAGACTTTGTGGGACCGAAACTACTTCCAGAAGAGCCAATTGGTGGCTTGAAGCTGTTCAGAGAGTGGTTCGTCAATTCGGCTACGAAACTTGGCGCCTCTGATTTGCTGTTAGCAATGAGGAATTGGAGAAGTCAGTATGTTTATTGCAGAGACCCAAACCCCTACATAGAACCAGCTGATCTTTCGGCATTTTATGCCTCACATCAATTCCACCCCAATGTTCAAATGCTTATCGATAGACTCGAGCTCTGGAGCGACCGTGATCGAAGGAATGCGATAGATAACCTATTTCTGTCGCTTGGGGTGTCTACCTATGATGTTTTCGATAACTGTGTCAACGGCATTACCAAAGCGACGATTGTCAGCAATTATATGGGGCGTGATTCCATTGATGATGGCTATATCAACAAGTATAAAGGGAGGAAAAGACGTCAGTTCGCCAAAACGTTTGATTTCAGGGGTAAACGGTTTGGAAAGGTAAAATGCGGCAGCAGAGGCAGAGGTACTACTAATGAGACAAGTATGGATAAGTGGAAATTAATGTGGGAAAGAAATCGAGTTAATTGAAAACAAAGCCTAAGGCGTTATGACAGGAATGGAATTTATGAAAAATTAATATGATGGACATGAATAAGATGTAGAAACAAATTCCCTATCAAGAAGTAAGAATGTGAGTAAAAACTTCAATTGTGGCTTTATGTTCCAATTCGAGCTAGAAAGTATTATCGTGTTGGACCGTATCAGCTACCTCGGCTTGAGAGATCTTCAAGTACGCCATAAGCCTTTCTAAAGGGTCGGTTACAGGAAGGAATTAACTAAGCAGACTCAATCACATAATTTAAACGTTAAAGTATGAAATCAGAAAAATAGAGTCTTATATAAAGAGTACTAGGTTAGACAGCTTACAGGGTGCACCGCAAAAGTACTGCAAGAACACCATACAGAGCATGTAGCTCCTGCACATATTGCACATATTATCACGTGCCACATCACGTGGACAAACATTACAACTCCATCACGAAAAGTCAACTAACACAACTCCAACACCAATGAACGTCGGATCGATCCTAAACGAGTCCCAGCCGGACAAATCACGCGACGACGAATCGCAGACTCCAGAAAACAAACCCATCGCTTCCCCGCACCAAAGACATTCCATCAACAACTTGTTGAATGACCCAGCTCCAGCAGCCATAGAGCACAAGGATTCCGATAGCTCCTTTACCGAGACGCCCCGTCCTTACAGAAGCTCAATTGCCAGTCTCACAAACGACAAGGATGTGGATTTTGCCACGGGTCAAGAGACGACGAATGCCAGCAGAACCAGCGTGGAGGAAACCGAAAACGTCATTTCTCCAAGGACTGAAGTGAAGAAGGAGTTAGCACCCCAGCTGGAAGAGCCAGTGGACGACGAAGCCAAAAATGGCGAGAAACCTGAAACAAAAACGGAAGAAAAGTACGTTCCTCCAAAGAAGAAGTCCTCTGTGGTGGACCAGAAGGAAATGGCTACGCTAAATAAACTAAGGACAAGCTCCAAAAACCGAAAACCGCGCCGGTACGCTGAACCCCCAATTTGGGCACAAGAATGGATTCCTCCCTCGCAGAAATGGGAAGGTCATGTTCAAAAGCAGCATCCTGCTGGACCAGTGGAAAACGGCAGCAGTATGGCAGTCTCCGACAAGCACGTTTTCAACCAGGGTCAAATGACCTCTTTGGATTTGGAATGTTCTGTCACTGGAGTGATACCGCCTCTGTCTGTGGTGAGAACCATTGCTGAGTGGATATACGCAAACTTTGTGGAGATACCCTTGGACAACAGACAATTCCTAGAGCTTGAATTGAAGTTCGGCACAATCATCGATAAGGCTACGGGCAGACGTTTGGATCTCGGCGTCTCTACGGAATGTATCTACACCAAACTGTCGAATATCCGCTTTGAGATGGGCGTTCACGAGGTGGGCTGGAAGGAAATGACAGCCTACTTGGATGAATTGGAGAAAGCTTTCCAAGAAGAAAAACGCAAAACTGGAACCAAGGGCCGCAAGTTTTCCACGTTGGACCTGGACGTGACGGACCAGTTCTTCCAAATCACAGAGCGTAACGAACAACCCAAGAAGGTGAGAATCAGTAAGGACAATGCCTTGACGCCGCCTCGTTACCAGGCCATCGAGAAGAAGAGAGTCTCAGACTTGTACATTCACAACCCCATGTCCATGTACGATCTCCGATTCCTGATGCTGTTTGAATTTCCTGTTCCTGAAAACAGTGTGGAGCCAATCCTCAAGAAGAACAAGCCCTCGCTCACGCGAATGAAGAAAAGAAACACCTATAACCACGCGCCCACAGTGACGCGTTTCGACTTCACCAAGGTCAGTGTGCCCAAGGCGCTGAAGAACAAACTGGGCAAGTCGGTCATGGAGAATGATACCTCCCACGAGGTCGAGATGGAGATGGATCCAGTGGAGATTTTCCGCGGTTTCGACAAGATCAGGGACGGTTCCGATACAATCAGATTCGAAGAGCTTGTTGAAATCTTTCTCAACAATGCCAGAATTTTGAACAACAGGGTGACGAAATTGGCATCCAAGTAATTCTCAATGGCTGCAAACGCCTGAGCCCAAGATAGCTTTTCCTGCATGGCACCGCAGCGCGCTCCTGCTGTCAACGAAATCTACATCTACTGGCTTGATATAGCACTATTTATTCATGTCGTGGGCGTTCGTAACGGTTTCCACGATTTTCACCACATTGGCCATTCTATATGGTCTTGTGATTCTATTCAGCCATCAGCCACGTTCAGCACATCCTGAAGAGCTGTTGTACGCCACGAATGACAAAGAAGGCAGTGTGCACCATTTGCCCAACAGAATTACCTCAATGAAGGAGGCAACAGGAGACGAGAAAGTTCTCTTGAGTGTGATTGTACCATGCTATAACGAGACTGCTCGTCTCGGCAAAATGCTCGAGGAGGCTGTGCTGTACTTGCAAGAAGAGCACCCTGACCAGTATGAAATCATCATTGTCGACGATGGTTCCAAGGACGGTACCGCCGAATACGCCTTGGAGGTTGCTAATACGTTAAAGCTTGCTCCTCATGTGTTGAAGGTTGTCAAATTGACCAAGAACAGAGGTAAGGGAGGTGCCGTTAGGCACGGACTCTTGCATGGTTCAGGAAAGTACATGCTCTTTGCTGATGCAGACGGTGCTACGAAGTTTAGCGATGTTCAAAAGCTTCTTGCCCACTTTGATGGCAAGGACGAAAAGCCAGCGGTTGCGATCGGACTGCGTGCCCACATGGTCAACACGGATGCTGTTGTCAAGCGGTCATTCATCCGCAACTTCTTGATGTATGGCCTCCACACCTTGGTTTTCATCTTCGGTATTCGCAAGATCCAGGACACGCAATGCGGTTTCAAGATGTTCAACAGGGCCGCTGTGCAAGAGATCTTCCCACACATGCACACGGAGCGTTGGATCTTTGACGTCGAGGTGCTCCTTCTAGCGGAGCTCCAGCAGATCCCCATCGCCGAGATTGCCGTCAACTGGCAGGAGGTGGACGGGTCCAAGGTGGACTTGGCCAAGGATTCGATTCAGATGGCCATCGACCTTGTGGTGACCAGAATGGCCTACTTGCTTGGTGTGTACGAGCTCGACGAGTGCGGACACCAATGGGCCGTGAATCACTAAAAACGTTGCATCAACCTTTGCATAGCTCTGTAACATAGTTCGGTATCGCCCAGTGGTGAATTGTAGGCGTAGTACTCTGTGGTACTAGTGACCCAGTAGACTGATGAATGAACACCGTCATTCACAAGTTCGTGATTACAACTTCAGTTTTGTGGGTACTAAGAGCAAGGGACACATCCATAACCATTATACAATAGCGCAGTATATGAATGCTAATTACCACCTCGCTACACATAAGCTCTACTTCAAAGCACATCAAGGTGGCTGAGTTTGCAGCCATTCCGAAATCTCAATGATTTCCGTTTTCGGCCTTTGTCACCTCTTATAAGCAAATTCCATTTTATTTCAATTATTTTTTCAAACTAACGTAAATGGTCAAAAAAACTGCTCCCGTTAGAATCCACATTTAGAGCCTGCCGCATGGGCCGATCGGCGCAGCCTAAATGATGCATTATCTTTCGCAGCCACTCCACCACACCACAATGGCCTGTTTTACACATAACAAATTTCCAAAGGCAAATCGAGACTAGCGTGTTTCAGAAGCAAAACGCAAAAAAATCAATTATCCCTTTTTCCCCCAACTTTCCCCGAAATCCACCTCCCGGAACCCTGCACTATTCTTAGAGGCTCGGCGCGAAGCCTAAATGTCAACTCACCACCACCCCATGGAACTTTTGAAATTCGCCAGTGGGAACAGAAAGGGGTTGATCGCCGTGGTGGCGGCCATCGTCTTGCTCAACTTGATCTACCTCGTTGGCATCGACACACTGTTTCTTGGTTCGGGCGTGGGAATATGGAGGTTTGCAACCGACCTGGCCCAGTACTATATTGTGGACGACGAGTTCGTGAAAGGCGAGCCGGCGCTACGGAAGGTGGCCAAGTTTCTGGAAGAGGCGCCTATAAGCAAGGAGGAATTGACCCGGGCGTTGACGGAGAAGCTCGATAAGGAGGGTGGAGAGTTCCTCAAGAAGATCTACCAGGATGTCTCAGACAAGTACTACGAGGAGTACAAGACGATTCTCAAGGCGGAGATGAAGAAGAAGATGGAGAACGACTACACGTATTTGTTTTTCCAGACGCTCCAGAAAAGCTACCAGTTGCTCGGGGAGCTTAAGGCTCGGTACCTCGAGCTGCACGAGGCTGATATCCAGAAGGCGATCATTGCGGACTACTTGAAGGATACTACGGATGAAAAGTTGAAGGAGAAGCTCAAGGAGGGCAACAATCTACAGTTTGACCGCCTGCGGTACTTTCAATTCTTATTCAACGACATCCTTCTCAAGCACGGTCCCAGAACTTCAAAACTCAGTCACTCTGAAAAGGGCAAGGATATCGTGAGCAATGCCTTCCACGAAATCACCGATCCCGTCTACTCGAAGCGTTTCTTGACAAGACGCAGAGTCACCTTGGATAAGCAGAAATTTGAGGATCTCCAGTCATCCCACGATAGCGTTGTCAGAGAGCTTCGCCTGATCATTAGACCTCCCGAGGATCTTTATCACGGAGATGGTATTGCAATCAGTGCCAACAAGCTTCATCTTCCAGGAGCGTTGATGTTGGCTGCTCAGCTTAGGCAAGAGGGTTCTCAGCTTCCTATAGAGATAGTGCTTGACTCGGAAGCAGACTACAATAAGCAAGCATGCGAGGAAGTGGCGCCTAAGCTCAGCGCAAAGTGTATTGTGACACAGCGGATTTTGGGCGACTCGTTGTTCGAGCTTCTTGGAAAAGAACCGTTCCAGCTTAAGGCCGTTTCCCTACTCCTCTCGTCTTTCGACAACACCATTGCATTGGACGCCGACAACTACGCGACGAAAAACATCGATTTTCTTTTGACATCGTGGCCATACTTACAGACCCGTTTCTTGCTTTGGCCTGATATCTGGCACAAGGGCACCTCGCCAGTGTACTACGATTTGGCTCGTTTCGACATTGGCGATGCCGTCAAGCGCCAGGGACTCGATAACTCCAGACCTTTCCACGAGTACACAACCAGAGACTACAACACGGAGATCTACTTCCATGATTTGGAGGGTACTCCTCCTGGTAAGGGCGTGGAAAGCGGACAATTAGTCTTCTCCAAGAGAGAGCATTTCAGGAGTTTGGCACTTGCTGCTTACTACAACATTCACAAGGACTTCTACTATCCACTTCTCTACCAAGGCGTTCACGGTTCGGGTGACAGAGAAACCTTCGTACCAGCCTTGCACGTCATGAAAGAACCATACTACCTTTGCGAGTACCAGGTTGAGTTTATGGGATTGGACCGTCCAAGGCCTACAGAACCCGAGGAAACATACTTTGATGAGAGCACATTAATCCAGAGGGATCCACAGCAGTCAGATAATTTTGCAAGAAGGTGGAGGCAATTCCTCAGAGCAGAACCACTAGACACAAGACTCTACATGTTCCAGCAAAATGACTACACAAAGAACCTTTTTAAGAAGTTTGCCGAAGCCAACAAGGACCTCGAAACACCAGAGGCGCTCTTCCTCCATGTTCATCTGCCAAAGATGAATCCACTCTACAACGAGCTCTCCACCAAAGCGCATTACGACTACGAAAGCCGATATTTGAGAAAGATTGGCGAGTACAACGATAAGGTGGGTACGTTTGATCATGAGCTCCGAATCCATGCTCTTTCGAAGTGGATTGTCTGTGATGAGTTCACCGATGAGGACTTCTGGAGCAGCTTCAAGGTGGACAGAAAGGCTCTCTGTCAGAAGGTTACGAATTATGTGAAGCAGTTGAAGAAGGACACGAATGACGCTTCGGCAGCTGAGCTCAAGGAGCTTCATGGAAAGATCGATATCACGAATTAGTGAGGGATACGTGCATTTTGCAGCCAGATGGATGCAACCCAAGAGTACATAGCATAACACATGAAACGAGATGATTTGAGTAGGCCTGCAGTGCAGTTGAAGCGGTGGGTTAATCTATTTCTACTGATAACTTTTATTCATATTCGTTAGGTTTAGTGAGGTCTGACATCGATGGGTATACATGGTAGTCCTCATCTGACCTCAATTGAGACAAGATTTGAGACAAAAGTTGAAATTCATAGCAAAGCTATTATTATGTTTTTGAAATGAACAAATCAAGGATCAAATATTTTATGGTGACCTATCAATCATGGAAACTGAATTCTCTGTGGGTTCAGTTTCAGTGCACAGTCCTCACCTCGTATAACCAGTTAAGCACATCACCACAAATCAGCAGAATGGCCGAAGGCACCAGATGATCTTTTTTCTCAAAAACTGAAATAGACAATCCTTTGAAATTTACCTTCTAGTTGAACTTTTTGTCTTTCATCCACCACTACCATCCGCAACCCCTCCATTAGTCAGCTCACCACCCATTCCACCAAGACCAAAACTTCCCAATTCTACAAAACCGATCTCAGATCGTCACATCAAATCTTCAAAACCCCCATAAATTCCCATCCAACGCTCCTCCAACGCCCCTCCGTGGGACCCTGAAACAGAGTCAGCATGTCTTCTCGCGGTTTGCATCCATTGCACCCATTCGGAGTTCGCAGCCGAAGTGGCCGTCATACCCCCACCAATAAAAACCACCAGTTCCGCACTCTGAAAACACGAAAGATGTCAAGAAATAGGCCACCCCGTAAAAACCAAAAAAACGTAGTTTCCACCATGCGGCGGAGAAGACTGGACTCCCCCGGACAGAGTCAAACGGACGGACTGCCTCTGTTGCGGACTTTTATGTCCCGACTCTGTCCGGGCGCGAAATAAAAAAAAACCCAACCTCTTGCTTTTCTTCTTTACAACATGTTGAGAACTTCAGCGCCCTTGAGAGCTTTTCTCAGATACAATTCGTCCAAGGCTGGTCACTACGAGGCCGTGGTCATCGGCGGTGGCCCAGGTGGCTACATCCACGCCATCAAGTTGGCCCAGTTGAACATCAAAACCGCCTGTATTGAGTCCAGAGGTGCTTTGGGTGGTACCTGTTTGAACGTTGGATGTATTCCTTCCAAGTCGCTTTTGAACAACACCCACTTGTTCCACCAAGTCAAGCACGAGGCCAAGGACAGAGGCATTGACCTCCCCGGTGAGGCCTCCATCAACGTGGCCAACTTGCAGGCTGCTAAGGACAAGTCCGTCAAGGGCTTGACTCTGGGTGTGGAGATGCTTTTCAAGAAGAACGGCGTCACCTACTTGAAGGGTCACGGTTCGTTCAAGGACGACAAGACCTTGACTGTCAAGCCAATCGATGGTGCTGAGCCATACGAGGTTACCGCTGACAACATCACCATTGCCACTGGTTCCGTGCCAACTCCTTTCCCAGGTATTGAGATCGACGAGGAGAGAATCGTCACTTCCACCGGTGCCTTGTCCTTGAAGGAGGTGCCCAAGAAGTTGGCCATCATTGGTGGTGGTATCATCGGTTTGGAGATGGCCTCTGTGTACTCCAGAATCGGCTCTGAGGTGACCATCATTGAGTTCCAGAACGCCATCGGTGCCGGTATGGACGGCGAGGTTGCCAAGCAGACCCAGCGTTTGTTGCAGAAGCAGGGTCTCAAGTTCAAGTTGGGCACTAAGGTCACCAGCGGTAAGAGAGACGGCGACAAGGTCAACATCTCCGTTGAGGAGGTCAAGTCCGGTAAGACTGAGGACTTGGAGGCTGACGTTTTGCTTGTTGCCATTGGTAGAAAGCCAAACACCGAGGGCTTGAACCACCAGGCTGCTGGTGTTGAGGAAGACGAGAAGGGAAGAATTGTGATTGACTCCCAGTTCAGAACCGCCAAGCCCCACATCAGAGCCATTGGTGACACCACCTTTGGTGTTATGTTGGCCCACAAGGCCGAGGAGGAGGGTGTTGCCGCTGCTGAGTACATCAAGCACGGCCACGGTCACGTCAACTACGGTAACATTCCATCTGTCATGTACACTCACCCTGAGGTTGCCTGGGTCGGTGCTTCTGAGGAGCAGTTGAAGGCTGACGGCATCAAGTACAAGGTTGGTAAGTTCCCATTCGTTGCCAACTCCAGAGCCAAGACCAACTTGGACACTGACGGTTTCGTCAAGTTCCTTGCTGACGCCGAGACCCAGCGTGTTTTGGGTGTCCACATCATCGGTCCTAACGCCGGTGAGATGATTGCCGAGGGTGGTTTGGCTCTTGAGTACGGTGCTTCCACCGAGGACATTGCCAGAACCTGCCACGCCCACCCAACCTTGTCTGAGGCCTTCAAGGAGGCTGCCTTGGCTACCTTTGACAAGCCCCTCAACGCTTAGGCATATAGAATCAACGTTTGATGAGATTGAGTGATTGTAGAGCCAGGGCGCCCAGTGCTTCAAATGGAAATAAGCTTTTAGCTTGAGTAGAGAACAGAATTGACTACAATTGAGTTACAATTTGAATCAATTTCGAGCGGCTCAATGTAGGGTGGCTTTTCTGCCGAAGAGCATCGATGATTTCTGCAGGTACACATCGAAGGGAGCAATGATATGGTGCCTCCTTAGAAGGGTCATAAGACCCCAGTATTAGCTTTGAGAGCATACATCAAAGTTTGCTATTCAATTGGCACGGCAATTGCACACGCCAATCTCGTCTACAACATAGATCGTAAAACTTTTCATTGTAACATTATTCATTACATATTCATTGAATATACCAGGCCCAAAGCCTGCCGACTATCGAGTTATGATGATGTAAAGGGCATGAATGATACCGGGAATGTAACCAAGGAAGGTCAAAATCAAGTTCAACCAGAAGGCGCCGGAGCAGCCGACCTCAAGGAAGACACCCAATGGAGGAATGAAGATCGCCACAATGATCTTAAGAATGTCACCGCAAACCATGTTTAATTATCGGAAGAAAAAAATGCAGCAGGTCGGGCGCCTTTTATATTCGTTTTCGCAGCAATCTTGTACAGCCTCACCGGATGGAAAGGCTGACAATAGATCTGCATCGCAGCTGACAGAGAACGAGTCTGCCTATACACGAGCTATTGTTCATTGTGAATTTTATTCGAGGATCGTATTTGTTTTGACTTTTGTGTGAAAAAGGCAAATTTTGGTTGGTCCTTTGGGTTTTGTTCCTTGTGTAACGCTGGAACGCAGACGTTGCGATCCCCGAATATAGCGCTGCTGCAGCTTGCTAGCGAGACGATGACATAGATAGGCGCAGACGAGAATGGTTGCAAAAATCGGGGCGAGACTCACAAAAACATGGATGACTCCTCCCGCAGGGTTCACGGACCCTGGTTTCCAAATTTAAATTTCTCCGTTTTCCCTGCAAAACGTCACTTCTCGGCACCGGTCAGCAATAAGCAGCAAGGCGAAGCCTATCGTCATGGACCAACTTGGCGTAGCAAGCAAGGGCGGTTAAACGCCAGGCGGCTTCTGGCGAGATCTTCCCGGGCTCCACAAAAAAACCGGACTTTGGGCATTTTGAGCTGTGGAGCCGTGGAGCGTTGTAAGGGTGGTTTTGGCGATGGAATGTGGCTGAATGGGAGAGGGTTTTGCGGGATTGGGAAATCGGAGTGGTGGGTGCGTTTGGAATTTGGGCCTGGGCCGCCGAGGGGTGGTGTTATGGTTGAATTTAAGGCTTGTGAGGTTCGGGTAGGGTATTGTAGGTTTGGGGTAGGCTGGGCTTACTATGGGGTGTCGTATTGTTGCAGTAGGTGGAGTGCTCTAGCCGTTACAATCAGCTTTAGCCGTTACAATTGGCAGGTAGACTAGAAAGTGAAATGTCCATACATTGCGGTGATATGTAAGTGAAGGCTGCGTGGTGCTAAATCAGGGACGCTTCAGTGCCATTGAAATGGACTTACTCTTGGTTGGCTAAGGCACCCACTTGCTTGATAGCTAGCATATCAATTGTCACCCTACCAAAATAGACGACAACGGCGAATTACTAATGCAAAACACGGCTTAAGCTGAATACTCAGCCTACTCTCTCGTAATATCGTGTTCGACGGCGTATTGTTCTACTGCTGATACGGTCTCATTGTTAGCACCAGCATTGTCTTACCAGGCTGGAGATCGTCAAGTCCTGACAAAGATGTTCTAGGGAGGTCAGTTGAAATCTGGGCAACAAACGTATTTCAATTGACTGGCTCGTCTTTTGAACGTCATCTTCTTACCTCGATTACGGTGCTATTGACTGTGGTGGAGAGTATGGTAGAGAGTATATGGAGACACCCCACCAAGACCCTACAATTGACTCGGAAGCGTCGGTGTCAAACCTACAGGACCTTCCTAACATCTTACACGATCTTCAAAAGTAACCTAAATATGTCAATTAAGCCGATAAGCTATATATGGAGGTTCCACCACATCTCCAAATTTTGCAACCGTTGATCGCGCAGAACCGTTCTGACCCACCCGCCACACCACACAACCAAGAACGTCAAAAAGCCTTTGAATACAAATTCGATTGGAAGATGAAAACCACCATCACCAAAACCAAAACATCCAAAATTTCACCACCCGTCCCACGAACCGGTGGATCCATGCTCACGGTTTCGCTGTGCAGCGTAAACGTCGTTCCCGCACTTTTTTTCTCAATTTCCAACCTGACTCACGAACTCAACAACCAAATGTCTGAATTACCCCTCCAGATCCTCCAGGCCGTGGACAAACACGGCTCTATCGGCAACACTTTGGAAGCCGAGGAGTTCAAGAATGTCGATTCAGGTGCGCTACACGCCTCCTTGGCCTCGCTCTGGGCCAAAGAGATGATTGTCTTTGACAAGATTGAAAAAGACATCTGGGCCTTGACGAAAGAGGCCGAGGAGTTCTTGACCTCTGGATCTCACGAGATTCGTTTGCTAGACGAGGTTTTGAAGTCTTTGGACGGTCTCAAAATCAGCGATGTCAATGCTAAACTAGGTGCTGTGGGTAAGTTGGGCCAGGGTAAGGCTTTCAAGAACGGCTGGGTTGCCAAGGACGGCGACAAGTTGGTGTCTAAGGTGGACAAGCTTCCGGAGGACGTTGTGGTTGAGAACTTGAAGCAGATCAAGGCCACTGGCACCTTGGACGACAAGAAGGAATTGACCGAGCTCAAGAAGAGAAAGTTGGTTACCATGACCAAGCAGATCGGCTACAAGGTCACCAAGGGACCAAAGTTCGGTTTGGAAATCAAGTCCTACGAGACTGACATCACCAGTGATATGGTCACCACCGGCTCCTGGAAGGACGCTGAGTTCAAGCCTTACAACTTCAACTCGGAGGGTGTGTTCCCCAACTCCGGTGCCTTGCACCCATTGATGAAGGTGAGAGAGGAATTCAGACAGATTTTCTTCTCCATGGGCTTCACGGAAATGCCTTCTAACCAGTACGTTGAGTCTGGTTTCTGGAACTTCGACACATTGTTCGTTCCTCAGCAGCATCCTGCCAGAGACTTGCAGGACACTTTCTACTTGAAGGACCCCAAGCACGCCAAGATCCCAGAGGACGGTGCTTACTTTGAAAACATCAGAGACGTCCACCAGGACGGTGCTTACGGCTCCATCGGTTACCGTTACCCATGGAAGGAGGACGAGTCTCTTAGAATGGTTTTGAGAACCCACACCACCGCCATTTCTGCCGCCATGTTGAAGAAATTGGCTGACGACCCCAAGCCCACGAGATTGTTCTCCATCGACAGAGTCTTCCGTAACGAGGCTGTTGATGCCACTCACTTGGCCGAGTTCCACCAGGTCGAGGGTGTGCTTGCAGGCTACGACATTACGCTAGGAGACTTGATCGGTTTCATGGACGAGTTCTTCTCCAAGATGGGTGTGGATGGTTTGAGATTCAAGGCCGCCTACAACCCTTACACCGAGCCCTCTTTGGAGATTTTCGCTTACCACAAGGGTCTCGGCAAGTGGGTCGAGATCGGTAACTCCGGTATGTTCAGACCCGAGATGTTGGAGCCCATGGGCTTGCCCAAGAACTTGCGTGTGCTCGGTTGGGGTCTATCGTTGGAGAGACCCACCATGATCAAGTATGGTGTGTCGAACATCAGAGAGTTGTTGGGTCACAAGGTGTCGTTGGACTTTATAGAGACAAACCCTGCTGCCAGGTTGGACGACGACTTGGTTGGTTGAGCATTGCACATAATGACATAGGAGAGTGGAGGCTGCAAGGGTGGTTCTGCAATACATATATACGAAAGCAACAGCATGAAACGATTGTAGGGCTGAGCTACTTTAGCTTTTCGTTATTTGGCATTAAATCTGCAATTTCATGAGTCGACTAAATTTACAAAAATACACCAATGGTATTTTGTGTCAAGTCCATCCCTGTGGACGCCATTGTTAATTTGTGAGGGTGTTCCACATTTCGCAGCCATTGGTTGATACCCACCCATAACGAAAATCACCAAATCCTCGAGTCGACAAAAAACAACATCATACCGTTTCTAACAAAAACCCAACTTTTATTAAAATCGCCAAATCCCAAAAATTGCTTTCCGTGCCTCACTTCCCGTTTGAGCCATTCTCACCGCTCAAACCGGCTCACCTACACCTTCTGCGCGCACATCACCAAAGTCAACGTCGACTAGTACCAGATGTCGTCTGCGGTTGAAAAGTCAAAAAAGCCCAAAAAGCCTCTTGATGAGGAGCACGCCTGTCGCTGGGCCGGCTGCAGCGAAGACAAGTTCCCAAACTTGGCCTCTTTGGTTAACCACGTGAGCAACGCCCATTTGGCTCAGAACACCCAGGTCTACACGGCTTCCCAGATGCGCTACAGCTGCCAGTGGGAGGGATGTTCTCGGTTTGATGTGGAGCAGCCATCCCGTTTTGCCCTTATTTCACATTGCCGGACCCACACGGGTGAAAAACCTTACTTCTGTCCGATTCCCGAATGTGACAAGCACTTCACCAGATCGGATGCCTTGGCCAAGCACGTCAAGGGTGTGCACGATTTGCACCAGCACAGGGACGCTATTGCGTTGATGAAGTACAGAAAGGAGAGGAACAAGGGCGATGTGTTTTTGGAGGAGAACTTGAACACCTTGACGGAGGAGGAGTACGCCATGTTCTTGCGCAGAGACTACGAGTTGCGGATGCCATGGTGGTTTTCCAAGCGGTTTGTGGATTCGCTTAAGACGGAGGATTCTTCGTTGCAGAGTCTCTACGATCAGCCTTTGGAGCTCAGACAGTACGACTTGGCCTTGTCTCGTTACAAGACATACCTCAGAAACCAGCAAAAGGACGATCTCTTGACGGAAATGAGCGACGACACTGCTCGTCAAGTTAAGCATGCCGTGGCCAACTACAGGCCTGACACATTGAACGTGTACGAGGGAAGCGACGTTCTGAAGCTCTATAACTCATACAGCAAGCTCACAAACAAACTTGCCACGGCAACGCGAGTTCAGAAAATTACAGAAAGGAAGCTTGAGGAAGCAAAGAAGGAGAAGAGGCGGTTGTGGGCTTTGACCCAGGTTTTGCTCGATGCCAATGTGGAGCTTGGTTTGCCCGAGGGTGAAGTCAGCGTCGACGAGCTTGACAAAGTCCTTCTAGCAGATGGGGTCGGGGAAGCCGAGGGAAACTAATTGATTCTTAAATGTTGATTTGGCGGAAGAGGTATCGAATGGTATCGGCAGTGGATGAGGTGAGGTATTATCATTGACCGAGGAAAGGGGCTAAACATTATGATGCCAAAACTCAAAACTCGGGACTCGGAACTCTAACCACTCACCAATGCTATTAATCTGAGAAGCAATTGACAATGCCATGAAGACTATGGCCTGGTGGTGGTGGTGGTACTCTCTACACCCGTACACCAGATATCAACCTACATCTGCCTTCTCATCTCATCAAGTCTCACCAGAAACCATCATGGCAGTTGCACTCAAACAAATCGCCGAGGTCACAGAAACAGACTCTGGTAGAGATTCTGGCAGAGACGATACTGACATAGTCGATGAGTCCCTCAGTCTAGATCAGCTCCTCGATGAGCTCGCACAGGAAACAAAACCAAAAAGCACCAAAGAGAACGAGTTCTCGCAGATCCAAGCTGGGCTTGAAAAATTACCAAAAATCGACAGCAATCTAGAACAGCGGCTCGAGGAAGCTGCCAAGGCTAAAAAGCAGGTGCTTCCAGCCACCTCCGTCAAAATCAACGACCCCATCGCACACAAAGTCAAGAAGACGAAAGAAGAGATCGATGCCGACGCAGGCAGCAAATGGTTTAATATGAAAAAGAAGGAGATCACGCCTGAAATCAAGCGTGACATGCTTGTTATCAAGAACAGAGCTGTGTTAGACAGAAAGAGACATTACAAAAAGGACAAGTGGGAAATTCCAAAGTACTTCCAGACCGGTACCATCATCGAGGGCAACACGGAATACTACTCTGCAAGACTCGCAAAGAGGAACAGAGGCCGTTCTCTTGCTGAAGAAATCTTGAATGATGAGGAGGGTGGAAAGTACTTCAAGAGAAAGTACCACGAAATCCAGAGCGAGAGAACGAGTGGAGGAAAGAAGCACTTGAAGAAGCTCAAGAAAAAGAGACAGGGCTACTAGGTATATACATAAGCATTGGGTTGAGCCGTAACATCGTAAGTCTATAAAGTAAGTGAGCTATTCCTCTAAACCAGCCCGGCGGAACACATCCAGACGCACCTCGTCCCACAAAAGTTTCTTTGCGTCTTTGGTCAACTTCTTCTTTTCACCATTGGCCAGCTGCAGCTTGAGCTCCTTTTTGATATTGTCGCTCTTGACCTTGTATTCGTAGGCGGTTGTAGCAGCAGCAGCTAGGTTGACCAAGTAATTTCTCACAGCGATTTCCTTATATTGAAAGGTGAGGTGGGACTGATCGCCTTGCGTAATGGGAGGTGAAGGAAGCTGTCTTTTGGGCTGGTTTATTTGTAGTAGTCTGGACTGTTTGACAGAGATCTCTGCCACAGACTTTTTGAACAGACTGTCAAGCTTGTGCTCCGTGTATAAGTTCAGTGAGTAGAGCGTATAAATAAGCTCCTTATCGGAAATATGAGGCTGGAGGAGCACAATCTGACAGATTTGTGCAAGATCGCCGACTAGTTGAGGAAGCTGCTGGTCGGAGTATGAGATATCTGGAGATGACGACACCATGGGCATATGGTTGAGCATGAGTTTACAGCGGGTCACGTTGAGGTTCCAGTCCACCAAAGACTCCGGCACGTTTTGATATTGAAGCTCTGAGCCCAAGGAGATCTTGTACATTTCCAGGTCGTCGTCTGTCTCGGGATAGTCGTGCAGCAGCTTTGACTGAGCAAACTGGTCTTGAGCGTAGCTCTCATGCAAGGCAATATCGTTGATCAACTGTTCAACAGTAGTCGTAGTTTGTTCAGCGTCTTCGGGGATCGTGGCTGTTGAGGACAGGTATATCGAGGGTGCTGATCTGACGGACCTTTTCCCCCACGAAAATACACTCAGTGCCAGCAGCCGGTGCAGCAGATGCAGATTATGGAGATGCTTGAATTGGGAAGGAGCTGAACGGACAGAAGTGGCCGAACTGTGTCCTAGAGATTGCAGAGGGAGCTGCTGGTAGATAGCGTTTCTGGCGGAATCTCGGAACTGGGAGGGCGGCAGGGACGCCTGGGAGTTTTTCCGGGCAGGCACGCCGAACATTTTGAAATTTCTAAAGTGGTTCGTTCGAGGTGTAGTTGGTGAAGCGATGGGTGTGGTTTTTTTTTTATTATTTTTCGTGAGAATCTGTGGGGAGACAGTGACTGTGGAGAAGACGCAGGACTTCGGATTTTCTCCGGGATGCCCATCGAAAGCAGGGTTCCCAATGGTGAAAACGTTCGAGATTTGGGTTTTCCGATACCACTGGGTGAAGAATTACGGGATCCAAATCTCGAGCGATCTCGAGGATTTTGGGCCCTGCTGGACAAGAAACCCCTTTTTCATGCTCTGGAAAATCATCCCGAAAAAGGCAAGAATAAGAAATACTGCGACCGCCACGCAGGCCGCTCTCGAGATTACGAGCCTATTTTTTCCGGATCGCCCGCCTGGACCGTGGAGACTCGTGAGTCAAAAAAGCTTATTTGTATGTGTTGATTGGACACTTTCACAAAGTATGACGTCGATTTATAAGCGTGTTGGGGAGATATGGCGGCGTAACCATGAGGTGATGGGTGCGAAATGGTCATTCTCGGATAAAAGTGGGCAACTTGCGGAATGGCCTGGGGTATGTGATTTGGGGAAATTGGGTGGGTGTTTTGGGGTCTTCAAGGTTGGGAGATTGGCATTTTATGGTTAGTTTTTTGAAATTGGGGAATTTTGGTGATTTTGGCGGAGGGTGTCTGTTGCTGAGGTAGCAGTCCGGATAAGAGAGGTGCGGATACGAGAGGTGCCTGTGGTTGCAAATCCAAGCCAGCGTGAAGGGGTTGTTCTGTGGGGGAAGCTATCTTTTAGGTTTTGGGGATTTGGATGCTGCTAGATAGGTCATGCTAGTAAGGTGGGGTCCATGAGGTGAGTGGAGGTGTCATTGGAAGGCAGCATTCTACAACAAGAGCTGAAAGAACCATTTATGACGAAGTTACCAGCATTTAAATACTCTTAGAGAGAGAAGTAATACTTGCTTTGAATTGTTGATTCTCATGGATATGGCAAAAACGAGCCCCAGTGCCCCCGAATGTGTCACAGTGGTGTAATATTATCCGGCTCACAGCAATGTATACTCGTATTACGTATCAAGAGTACCTTTATGGACTATCCAAATGCCATTGGAGAAAATGTTCGAAGAAATAACACACTTTCGAACGAAAACCCAAGAATTCTCAAATCCATGGTGGTTGTTGTGTTGATACTCCGGTGGTTGCAGCTCATCAGCCTGCACATCAAACGCTCAAATCAACTACTTCTTCCACAACATGGCGGAAATCCCAGAGGAGTTCACCGAAACCTACGGCTTCCATCTAGATAGTCATAAGGATGGTGTCAAGTTGTTTGATGCTCCTGTTGATTTTGGCAATTCCAAGATCGCCTCCCTGCCATTGAACTTGTTAGCGGTGGGAAACATCAAGAAAGTGTACATTGCATCCAACACGTCCCAGCTTGTCATTGGCCATGTCGAGACTTTGGAGGAGGACAGGAAGTACGTCGACCTTGATCTGATCACAATTGTGGGTATAAGCGCCGATAATGAATATGTTTATGTTGTCACGAATGGAACGCTAAATAGAGTATCCACTGACGAATTGCTTCTGGGTGGACAGACGTTCACTGAAATAGCGAAAGATGTTAAGAACTTTAAAGTGTCTCCTACGGTTCCAGGTTTGACTGCTGCCCTTTTGGAAGACGGTACCCTTAATGTGTTGAAGGATGACGACACAGTGCATTCTGTTGAAAATGTGGAATGCTTCGCTTGGGACCTAGAAGGAACTGCCATCGGTGTGGTAACTAAGGATGAAATTGCTGTCTACAAGCCTGACGGTGAAAAGCTCTCTTCCTATACCGTCGAGGAATCATACAACGACATAGCTGCTATACATTCTGGACAATGGCTTCTAATGAGTAGCCCCTCGCCGGAGGACGCCACATATACGCTCCTTTCCAAAGAGGAGTCAGGCTTCAATACCCTCGATGTGCCATTAGCACCACCATTCGGTGAGGTTGAACGAGTCCAGCAAATGTACTCTACTCACTTGCAAAACTGGATCAACGGCAAGACCTTGGCGCTTGTATCCACTGCACTCGCTACCGAAATAGCATCCATTGAGTACGATGGTGAAGCAAGTAAGCTAATTGCTCACGCAAACGACACGGATCGTGCTGAACTTCCTGTTGACGACGAGTCGGGTGACGATACTTTGCCAGTCGGTATGGCGGTAGATGTCACAGGTACTACAAGAGTTGTAAAGGAACCCTGTCTGGGAGTAGAGGAGGCAAATGGTGTTTTACCAAGATTGTTTTGCTTGAACAACAATGGTATGTTGATCGCCTGGGACGTTTTCGAGTCCCGAGAAATCAATAACGAGGGTCTCAGCTTGGAGAGAGCACATCCTCAACTACAAACGGTGGACATTTCAGCATCAAAAAAGTCTGATGCTGTAAGCCTGGGTCCTGCCTCAGTGCCTGTGAAATCTGACCCAGTCAGCCTGGGTCCTTTCTCTGCACCTCCAGTCGCCAAAGAAACTACCAAGCCTTCAGCCCCACCAGCATCACCGTTTGGCTCTTCGCAACCATCAGGTCTGCTTGGTTCAGAAGGAAGCCAGGGAAACGGTTTTGGCCAATCAGGGTTCGGCAAGTCAGGTTTTGGCAAGTCAGGTTTTGGCCAGTCAGGTTTTGGTCAGTCCGGTTTTGGTCAGTCTGGTTTTGGCCAGTCAGGATTTGGTCAGTCAGGATTCGGTCAATCTGCGTTTGGCCAATCCGGTTTTGGCCAAAAACAGCAGATCAAGGGCAGTGGAGATGTCAAATCTGGGTTTGGAAGTTATGCCTCAAAAAACAATGCCCTCACTGGCGATGCTAAATCATCGCCATTCGGCAAAACAACCGCATCGAATGACATTTTTGGCTCTCAGAGCACCTCCAACGAAAGCCTGAAACAATCGATGTTCGGTGACTCCAGCACGAAGCCATTTGGCTCATCCTCAGAATCGAAGGACATCTTTGGTAGCTCATCTAGCACGAAGCCATTTGGCTCTACGACGGATGCAAAGCCATTCGGAAGTGATGCAAAGCCATTCGGATCAACATCAGGGGCAAAGCCATTTGGTTCAACTTCAGATACAAAGCCATTTGGTTCAACTTCAGAAGCAAAACCATTTGGATCCACGACTGATGCAAAGCCATTCGGTTCGACCTCCACGAAATCTATTTTCGGTAATCCCACTGATGCAAAAACATCTAGTCTGTCTTCAAAATTGGAGTCATCCTTTGGTACTTCTTTGGAATCAAAGCCGCTGGAGGCATTTTCAAAAGCAGCATCGGCTTTTGGATCCTCTGACAAAGCAGCATCGGCTTTTGGATCCTCTGACACTGCTAAGCCATTTGGATCTTCCAGTACTTCCAAGCCATTGTTTGGACAAACGACTGATTCCAAGCCATTCGGTCAGCTGTCCGAAGTCAAACCATCCGGAGCACCATTGTCCCTGTCACCTTTTGGTTCAGCTACATCTGAGAACGACAAGCCTTCTCTGGAAACGAAGGAGGAAACGAAGCAGGAAACGAATACCCCCGCCGGCGAGTCATCCAAAGAACCTCAGAAGCCATCTTTGTTTGGCCTGACCTCCGCCAACGAATCGTCTCCTTTTAGCAAACTTGAGGAATCTAAGCCATCCGAAACTTCCCAAGATAAGGAGCAATCGGATCTCTCTTCGGAGGTCGACAAGTTGTCCGTCAAGCAGGCTGACGAGAAGGCTGCTTCAGAGAATCACGATAATTCACAGACTTTGGTCGGTAAACCTGTGGAATCATATTCACCAAAAAAGCCATCTGTGTCTGGAGAGTCCAGCCAGGCAGATTCCAAAGAAGAGAAGGAAAAAGCATCACAATTTGGTGGCTTCAATGCTCCCACGGACTCAAGTAACGACAAGCAGTCACCATTCGGCGGCTTCTTTAAACCTGGTCTCTCGTCTCAGACTGAGGGATCTCATGAAAAGCCTCCCATTTTTGGTTCTCAGTCCTCAGACAAGACCTCACCTTTTGCATCCTTGAAGAGTTCTGAGAAGACACAAGAGGAGGATTTATCGAGCGGAGTTGACGATGAAGCTCCATCAAAGAGTGAGATACCAAAACAATCCTCACCATTCGATGTCTTGACTGAGACCCCTGAACAGAAGTCCTCTCCGCTTAAAGACTTCGATGGTTTGAAAAAGAACCTTCCAAGCGAAGAAGCGCCTGCCTCTGATGTGTCCTCCCAAGATGTTTTGAGCTCTAGCGAAGTGCTGGAAAAAGAAGAAGTTTCATCAGAAAAGGAGGAACCAGCATCTCCTGGAATCGATAAGAGCCAACCGGCAGCAGTTCAAACACCGTTGAATAAGGATGCGACACCGGAGACCAAGCCTTTGCCATCATCGCGGAGTAGCCCATATACATCAACTCCATCGAATGAGTCGCCATCTACTCTGCTGTCTACCGAGAAGAAGGAACTACAAGTCGCCCCTTCTGCTCCTCAAAATACCCAAAGTCAGCCTGTCAAGGCTCAAGATGCCAGACCCCCCTCTCCAGCGGAACTGGTCAACATTGTGCCTCCATTAAACGACGTTGAGCTTCGAGTCTTTGGCCGTCTTGGATCCCAGGAAAATAAAGGCACACCTGTGGAAAAAGAGATGCGTTTGGTGTTGCAGACCACCGATGCCATGAGCAAGATTCTCAGGCTTAATGCGAAAAACTTGGAAGACAGAATCAAGGCTCTTGAGTACGATCAAGATCCAGAAGACTACAGGCGTTTGGGTTCTGCCAACTCTCTCACGAAAGTGGCCTTTACCAAGGTTGTGGATGGAAGGAGCACGGTGTTAGCAGCTCGTGAGCTCAACAAAAAGTTGGAGACTTTAATGAAAACTGCAGAAGAGAGCGAAGAAACAAGAAAGCTCTGCGAGCGGTTGGTGTTGCAAATCGCCAAGTTCGAGAAATCCTTCACTCCTGAGAACGTCAGAGACCGTCCTCTTGAGGTCAGAGGCGAGATGCTCAAGACACGTCTCCGTGAGAAGATGAAAAAAGTGGAAAAGTTGCACGCCGAAGTGCTAGAGAAGCTGACTCCGCTTTTACTTGAGCGCAAATCAGATGCTAGTGGGACCACCTTGGTGGAAAGGCTCGAAGAGGCTACTTATGAGATCACCTCCAAGATCAATCTCTACTTCAGGCAAATCACCAAAATTGAAAAAGAGATCAACGAGCTACAAGGCTCAAAGCTCCTCACGGATGGAAAGGTGCAGCGCAGAATTCCAAACGAAAGCTTTCAACAAACCAGATGGGCGTGGGCCAAGCAGCTCTCGTCCACTACAGTTGTTCAGGACGAACTCTGATCTAGTGCATACATAGCGCGCGAAGGTAAATAAACATCACCAAAGGTAAATACTCATCTTCATGAGCGAACTTCTAGGAACCAAGGTCGCTGTGCCAGGCACGACAAGAGGATTTGGTGTCCTCAAGTACATAGGGCCCATTGAGGGGAAGTCTGGAGTTTTTGGTGGAATCGAGCTTCAAGGCCCTATAGCAGCATCAAGAGGTAAGAACAGTGGTGCTGTAGATGGGGTACAATACTTTGAGGTTCAGCAGCCCATGAGTGGTCTTTTTATACCGTGGGAGAGACTCAGGTCATCTAATGCCCGGTTGCCCAGATACGAAGATACGATACGACCCCTGAACGGTTTTCCAGATAACCTCAGAACACCATCACCAACGCATAAACCACTTTCCAGAGTCAGCAGGCCTCTGTCGCTGTCACAGAGTCCTCAGTTAGCTCAGCCTATTACTCTTCCAAAGAGAAGAGTCATCTCTGGAGAGTCTGTTACGAGATCTGCGGGTGGATCAAGAAGTGATCTGGGGGACTTGTTCGACAGAACTAGGACGCTGTACGATGCTGATGCCGCTAGAAAGGAAATAAGCGAGTTGAAGGCCATAGTAGGCAGCAAGTCCAGAGATCTCCAGGAGAGAGACAACATTCTTGCCGGTCTTCAGAACACAGTGAACGAACTACAGGCTGTCTTGGGTGATCTAGAGCAGGAACTCGAACAGAAGAACCAGAAGATAGCGAAACAAAAGGCCGACAACGACAAAGCCAGGGAAGAATGGCGTGAGAGTCTTCAGCTCATGATGTCCGCTCAGCAAGAAGCAGAGGAGCTCTACGAGCAGCAGATTCAGGAACTCAGGAAAGACGGAGAGGGTGACAAAACCGCAGAACTCGAAAAGCGCCTTGCAGCTTTGACGGAGGAAAACAATAAACTCAAGGAGCAAGCCAGTCTGGCATCTGGAGAAGATACCGAGGAAAAGAAACAAGAGCTCGAAAAGTCCCTTGACCGTCTCCAGCAGGACGTAGCATCCTTAGAGTTTGTCATTCAAGACAGCCAGAAGAAAGTGAAGGAAAGGGATGCTAGGATTCACGATTTGGAGATTGAGCTTGAGGAATTTAAACTGAAAGAGGTGGATGGCCTACTGAAGCAGGTGGGTGGTTTAGATGTCTCTGACTCGAAAGCAAATGAGGATATCGAAGCCCTCGAGCGGCAACTCGAAGAGCTGAAGAAAGAGCTGAGTACTATGGAAGAGCGTGTCAAGAAGCTTGAGGCTGATCTAGAGCAGTCGAGGCGTGAAAACTCGCAGCTTCAATCAAAACAGGCCAACTCTCTGGAGCCAGACGAATTAGCCAAAAAAGTGGAAGACCTACAGCACGAACTCAAGATGCGTCCTACTTTCGAAGAGCTCAGTGAACTTCAGACTGCTCTTGAAGAGGTTGACCTGCTCCATCAAAAGTCAATGGAGGACAAAGACAGAGCGCTTGCCGCTGCAGAGGAACAGAAGAAGGCCTTGGCTGAGCAACTCAACCAGCTACGTCTGCAGCAAACTCAATCAAAACCGGAAGATCCTTCTGAAGACAAGGAAAATTCGGGACCTGTTAGTTTTGTCAAGAACGAGACATTGGGGATTTACAAACCACCAAAACCAGTGGACCCTAGCAGTGGTAGACTGAACTGGTGTGGGCTTTGTGAAAGAGATGGGCACAGCAGTCTCAATTGCCCCTACGAAAACGACATATTTTGATAGAATGTATAATGAAAAGCAAACGAAACAAGAGAGGCACAAGTAGTTTACCTGGAAAAAATCCTCCTAGGAGAATGAAAAAAACCAGACAAACACAACTCATACCTTCTCAAAAGAAGAATATGCCAGGAAGGGATCAAAGCTCTCGAGATAATTTCCATCCAGAGAAGCCTTCTTGTAATACCTTCTCTTGCAAAACTTCCAAACCTCACAACCAGCGAAAAAGACAATAGTGAAACCGATGGAAACACCCCATTCGTAGCCAATGGGTCCATGCAAAAACACTTTATCGTTGATCACCGGAATGTAAATGACAGGGAAAACAGAAACAAAAGCACCAATCACCGACCAGAACAAAAACTGATTGTCCCAGAGATCAGCACCCAAAGTCACGTACCACGGATTCTCCAGCTCTGGTCTCATATTAAAGAAGGAGAACTTCATGTGGATACATTCCCAAGCCAAAAACAAGGCACACCAAGTGAAGGCCGAAAAAGCAGCTGATCTTCCCTCAAAGACCAAATCACAATTGCTGCCGCTATTTTCGTTACACTTGTAGCCCAATTCACCGCTGCCTTTTCCGTAGACAACAATGACAAATACAGCCATACAACAAGCAGCCATCCAAGTACCATAGACAAACATGTCCAAGATCATGCCGGATGTGAAGATTCTGTTGTTTGGCGGCACATCCAAGATATCGTCACTCGCTTTCTCCTGACCCAATCCCATAGCTGGGAAGCAGGATGTCACCACGATAATCCAGAGTGTTTCGACTGGAGACAAAGGAAACACAGAGAAACCGGAATCATCGAAGAACGCCAAACCCACAATCAAGTAAAGCGCCTGAGCGACGTTTTCAGCAAGCAACTGCAAAACGAACTTTTGGATGTTGGACGACATTCTTCGACCCTCTTCAATGGCGTGAAGAATGGAAGCAAAGTTATCGTCCGTAAGAATAATGTCGGAAGCATCTTTGGCCACATCTGAACCGTTCATGCCCATAGCAATACCGACATCAGCCTTCTTCAAAGATGGCGAATCGTTGACTCCATCACCCGTCATAGCACAGAATTTGTTACGACGGTGCAACGCTTCAATCATCCTCACCTTGGTTTGTGGAGCACAACGGGCAATGACCAAAGGAAGAACAGGCAAATTGTCGATTTCCAAATCGCTGAGCTTGTCGAACTCCGTAGCTGTCATGCACATCGACTTGATCACCTCGTCGGAGTAGTGATACAAATTGTGAGGAAGGATGCCTACTTCCTGGGCAATGGCTCGAGCAGTTCCAAGCATATCACCAGTAAGCATGTGGACATTGATACCTGCTTTATGGCATAGTTTGACAGAGTCTCTTGTTTCAGGACGAGGTGGATCGTAGATACCAATCAAGCCCAAAAACGTCAATCCGGTCTCAACCTCCTCACGGTTGTTGATGTTGATCTTTGTGCAATTGACGCTTCTTTCAGCGAAAGCCAACACTCTGAGACCCTCGCTTGAGAGATTGTTCATCACCTCCTCGATTTCCTTCTTGTGAGCATCAGTGAGTGCTTCGATTGAATCCTGGTCGTTTGAACCGTACTTGAACTCGCAAATATCCAAAATTCTTTCAACTGCACCCTTGGTGTAGATCATAGCGTCAGCACTGGATTTACCATAAATAGACGACATTCTTTTGATGGAAGAGTCGAAGGAAAATTCAGCAAAGTGTTCAAGTAATCTGTCACCAACAAGCTTTTGTCTAGTAGACTCCAAACGAGTACAGAAGACATTGATGGCGATTTCGGTCGCATCACCCTGACCTTCCCAAACGGTGCCAGCGTCTTTTTCAACAGGCTGAATGGAGGAAATGTTGGCCAATGTAGCGGCGTCCATCCACCTTGAAAACAAGTACAGCGATTGTTTGAGGCTGAAAGGTTTGTACTCTGGCTCCTCGTCAATGTCATTAATCTCCTTGGGAGACAAATTGACAAAGCTGACTTCACCAACCTCTGGATTGTACACCTCGGTGGAGTTTGTTACCGAGAACGTACCAAGCGAAGGTATCCAGAGCTTTCTAGCGATCATCTTGCCCATGGTGAGGGTACCAGTCTTGTCAGAACAAATATCATCGATACCTCCAAGAGCCTCTAAAGAGTCTAATTTTCTCACGATGACGTTCTTCGTGACCATGACCTGGGCACCGATGGCCATTGTGATGGTAAGCACGACAATCAATGACGAGGGAATCATTGAAAGAGCCACACAGATGGCGTAGATGGCAACTGAACGATTGACATTCATTTCCTGGGTGGCCATCACCACAATTGCAAAGACCACTGCAACAAAGAAAAGAATGATTGCCAACCACGACAACTTCCGTTGCAACGGGGTACCCACATTTGTACCAAGAACGTTCATGATAATGTTGAAAGTGGATTTCCAAACGCAGGTGAAAAGCGATACGCCTGGGCGCTTCTTGACAATCAAATCGTCCTCAGAAGACTGCAAAGAAGAAGCAATTTTTCCAATTTCAGTGTGTAAGCCGGTGGCCACAGTGATACCTGTAGCACGACCCTTGGTTACAACCGAGGAGGAGTAGGCCATGTTGAGACGATCTCCCACAGGCACCAGTTCCTCAACGTCGTACACGTCCTGGTGGTTCTTTGTCACTGGAAGAGACTCGCCTGTAAGCAAGGCCTCGTCAGTTTCCAAATTCATGGCATCCACTAAACGCAAATCAGCAGGAATCGTATCACCGACTTTTATCACGACAATATCACCAGGAACCAAATCAACGGCGTTGATTGTCGAAGTCTGGCCGTCACGAACCACCACAGCGGAAGCCGAGGTCAAGTTACGCAACGAGCCCATGGTCTTCTCGGCCTTCACCTCTTGGATAAAGCCCACAAAGACATTGACAAAAACGACAAAAGCAATCACACCGCCGGAGATCCAGTCCCGGATCGCCAACGCAATGATCATCGAAATGATCAAAACCAAAACCATGGCATTGAAAACCTGGTGGCACAAAATAGCAACGTACGAGATGGTCTCCTCGTTGCCCAAGTTGTTGGGACCATGTTTTGCAGCCAAATCAGAAGCTTGCGATGAAGAGAGACCAGACTCGACATCGACAGAAAACAACGACGCCACTGCATCAGCAGCTAACCTGTAAGGTTCAGGCTCGGACGAGTGGCTTACTCTTCTCGGTTCTTGACCGCCTTGAACTTCAACTTTCTCACGAGAAAACGGCACATTGTTGGTTGAGTTAGCAGACGAGCAG